GGAAAAAGAACCAGTGCTGGAAGGACGATGACCTTCGGGTACGACGCTGAAGATAGCCGCGTCGCTACTCCCTGGGCGAATATCAAGAGAGGCATGCGTCCGAAGGCGAGTTTCTTCTCGGACTAAATCAGCCAGGACGCCTTCCAGCTTCAGGGAGTCACGATTGAGCAAAGTGGCACGAAGGGATTCAAACTTCGGCTTGAGACGCAACAAAAATTGAAGGAGGCGGATCTTGCTCTTCTCGGCCTGGAGCTCGGCAGGGACTGGTTGGGAAAGAAGTGAGGCCGAGAGCAGGTCCTGCTCTGTCCAGATCAGCCGTCTCGTTGAAGTAAGATGTTACATCGAGCTCTCCCTGATGGAGGTTAGCGAGTTCAACTTCCAGCTCGAATTGGCAGTTGGCCTTGTCGTGGAGTATGTTTCAGCCAACGACCTCCACATTGCTGCTGCCGTAGGGAGAAGATGCAGCCCAAGCACAATGCTAGGATCGACTGAATTCGTGATCATCGATCGGACCTTTGTGTCGTTCTGCACCCATCTGGACACGGTCTGCTCATCTGCAGGAGGAGTGATCGGCTTCTGGGAGGAACCATCGAGCAGCCCCGCAAACCCCTTGCCTTCGATGAAAACCCGAAACTGAAATTCCCAAAGTGAATAATTTTTGGAGTTCAATCGAGTGTTGATATGATCGGAATCCATGACGGTGAGCTCTGATACCATGTTAAGAACTAGGATCGAAGCAGAAATACCTAGAAGCATAAACGAAACGGAGACAGAGATTTACGTAGTTTCCTTGATCAGTATGATCAAGACTAGTCCACGGCCGAAGCTATCAACGTATACACTTAGCTTCAATGTTCAGTTACAGGTTACAATAAATAGTGTGCTATAACCCTAGCCAAGAGGGGAAGAGATCGGCCTAGGGCTTGACTAAAGGCCTCCTACGCTATGTACATTAATCATATGGGCTAAAGCCCATTTACATAACTCAACAAAACCATATATAGCTACATAAAGCCCTAATATATAAACATAGACCGCGAGAGACAGGTAGTAGTTAACTAACTAAGAACATCAATGACTCGGTTACCGAACCAAAAATTATTGAAAACTTAAATCTGAATTAGCTAATTAATTGCGCATAACCTGAACCAATTTTTATTTCAGTTAGAATAAATCGGTAAACCGAAAAGAGCATTTAATTGCATTGAGTGCTTATCAATCTTTATTTTTTAATTAACGGAACCCATAATCGTTAAGAGCTTATTGAATTTTTTTTTGACAATCAACCTGCTTTTTAATTAATAATAAGACCATCCTTCTCAAGGTGAGTAAGGAGGAAAACAAGGGGGCCTCAATGCCCAGGTTTCAGTAGTGTCCCAATTACAGTTTGAGTGGGCCATAACATGGGCCGGCTCATTTCCCGTCCGCTTTGTAAAATTCCAACTCACCTGGCCCAAATCTTTCGCTCGTTGCTTCAGATCTCTTGCAACCAGGCCCACCTCCAATCTCGAGTCTTCCTCTCCCTTCAGCTTCTGGATGGTTGTTTTACAATCGCTTTCCACCACAGCTGGTAAGAAACCTTGCATTTCCATCGCCTGCAACCCAAATTCCAACGCCCTAAGTTCAGCGAGCTCCGGTGGCCATTGATTTCGCTCTCGTCGTATCGCCGCCATGAAAAAATTGCCAGATTCATCGCGCACCACGAGTCCCAGCCCCGTTCCTTCCCCCTCAAGAACTGCTGTGTCGACATTCACCTTGGTTCATCCCGCCGGCGGCTTCACCCAGGTACAATTCTCCTCCATTTTCACACAGCTAACCCTAAGAACTGCCCAGTACTCCAGAGCCTTCCCCATAATATCCCACTCCTCCGCCTTTTGCTTATTAAACATTTGATTGTTCCTTTCATTCCAGATCGACCATAGGATCAGTCCCACTTTTTCTAGCGTTTCATTATCCACTTTTTCCATTACCTCACATAGCCAGCTTCCAGATGACATCTGAGGCTCCATCTCGAATAGTTATCTGAATGATGTAGGCCTCCATATGCGAATTGCCCATTGGCACTCTCTGAAGATATGATTTTTCGTTTCTTCGAGATTGCAAAATGGGCATTCCGTTGCTGCCTCTTTCTTCTTTTTCTCGATATTCTTCCCAGTTGGGAGAATTTCATGAGCAACCCGCCATAGAAAGATCTTTACCTTGGGTGGAATCACTAATTTCCATAGCCTAGCCCAGTCCATAGGATCATACACCTCCACGCTCTCTTCTGTACTGTCTTTGCCATTCTCCTCCTCAATCCATGTAGGATTATTCGCCTTTAGGTCTTGATTTGCCAGGTTGTTATAGGCCGACTTCACAGAGTAGTCTCCCCTCTTTTCAGCACACCACACCCTATCATCCCTTGCTGGTTGTCTGGGGATGGGAATTGCTAAAATTCGAGCTCTATCTTCAGCATTAAAGTTGTTTTGTAGCATGTTCCACCGCCAGACTTTATGTTCGTGATCTATTAGATCCATTACCCTAGTTAGCCCCCCTCCTTGTGGTTTTGGGGAAGTAACTCGATAATTATGGTCTGCAGCCTCTGCTACCCATTTATCTGACCAGATGTTTATCTCAGATCCATTCCCCACCCGCCATCGAATCCCTTCCTTGACCATTTGTTGTGCTGCCATTATGCTGCGCCAAGTGAAGCTGGGATTATTCCCCAAGTTTGCTTGTAGGACATCAGTATTAGGATAATACTTTGCCTTCAACACCCTCGCTGCCAGGGATTCTGCTAAACCAATAGAACCAATTTTTTTTTGACAAAAAATAATCAATATTGATAGAAACAATAGATAGTTACAATCTGGAATTCAGCCAAACCTGGAAATAAAAAAAACGACTCATAGTCGGGTACAAAGAGAGGGCCTTTCGAGCCACCAAATGGGCTACCCTATTACTACGCCGACCTACAAATCGAACACTAAACCCCGAGCGAATAGCTAAGTGATGCACAACTTCAACAAAAATAGCACCCATCCGACTATCACTAGTATCCGTATGATTGATTTTATCGATGATGACCTTAGCATCTCCCTCGAAACAAACCTCCGTAATGCCCCGATTCGGGCACCACATAATAGCTTCCCGGAGCACCTCGGATTTAACTTCTCTTCTTTCCTAATAACTCTTGATAAAGAAGGAGTTGTCCGATTGAAAGTCAAATTCCCCAGGTACGAAAAATTGAGATGTGAATATTGAAGAGTCAAGGGGGTTTCAATATGGGTTTAGCGATTTTCGATTGAACTGAAAGGGAATTAGTGATTTTTTTGTTTGTTTGCTGCATTTGGATTTCAAAATAAAAGATTTTATATTTGATGGGTGTTATACTCGGATTTCTTTTCTATACACCGTCAAGAAGAAACACGGTTTGACTTGATCTTTATATATATAGATATATAGCCCGCTACTCTTTCTCATTCTTTGCTTCTTTTATTTTGGGTTTTATACAGGTCGGTGTTCGATGTAACCAAAGGAAGATCTCATTATGGAGTTGGAGCGCCAGAAATTCCACCAGAAGCTTCTCTTCGTCGAGGTAATTATATTGTCAGCCACCAACCTAGCAAGCTTTTGATATTGGTTTCGATCGGTCATTCTGCTTCTTCATTTTAGGTATCCTTCCCTCCACTTCTGTCTGAGCTATCAAGGTATTAGATTTGTGTATGATGAGCACTATTGGAATAGATTTCTAGCTACGTTAATAATTTGTCTGTTTGATGGATTATGAAGATCTCTCATCCTTTAGCTAGGAATCACATTGTTGGGAAATTGAGATTTTCTTTCATGCGTGCCGCCAGTGCGAAACTCCCATCCATTCATTAAATAGAACCCAATATAGTGGTCCTTCCCTTTGCCGCCTTACTCAATTGTTGACTGCTACTATTCAAACCCAAATTTATCCTCTGCTCTTGCCGCTTAACCGATATATGTGATTGATGCAATGAACAACCATTTAGATTACCAGTCTGAGATGTGATTGATACCATGAACAACCATTTAGAATTCCAGGTTCACCTGGTATTTATTTTCTTCTTCAGATGTTATGAACACATGTGAAGGCACATCTTCAGTAACCTCAGCCAATCATCACCATAAACACATGTGAAGGCACATGTGAGGATCTATGGCATAGTATTTCCCATTAATTACGTTAATCTTTGGTTCATTGGTTTGAGCCAACGACTGGTCTTCTACAAGGACCACGTGGTGCTGCCACAGTTAAACAAGTTTAGTTACTACCAGGGGCGGAGCCAGGATTTGGCTTTCCGGGGGGGGGGGGGGGGGGGGGGGGGAGGGGCGAAAATTCTTATTATGTTAGCGCATAAAGGCAATAAAATTAATCAAAATATAAAAGGTAAATTATTTCTAATATTATGATAACTGCACTTTTTAAGATGTTAAAACACTCAACATAAGATCTAAACTAAAAATTTGTAGTATGGTGGGTTCAATATAAATTCAAAAGAAATAAATTAATTAATCATGAATTTTGTTGTTGTTATTAATATTAATAAAAATAGGAAAATTCTATTATGTTAGCGCATAAAGGCAATAAAATTATTCAAAATATAAAAGGTAAATTATTTCTAATATTATGATAACTGCACTTTTTAAGATGTTAAAACACTCAACATAAGATCTAAACTAAAAATTTTTAGTATGGTGGGTTCAATATAAATTCAAAACAAATAAATTAATTAATCATGAATTTTGTTGTTGTTATTAATATTAATAACAATAGAATAATGAATTTCAATGATCCTATTTTCAAATTGTAAAATTAATGACAGAACATGTCATATTATCACTTAACCCATCAAAACTGTGAAAAAAAATAAAAGAAATGCTTCCACCGAGAATTGAACACCTGACCTAAGATTCAACACTTGAGCATTCCGTCGGCTAGACTAAGTGAATTTTCATATATTATACAACAAAACAATGATATATTTATAAGTCTATTTTAGTTTATACGAAATTTTCCTAAACACCGTCGAGCTTATACGTAACTTCAGAAATTCTGGGGGGGGGGGGGGGGGGGGGGCGCCCCTCCTCGAGAGCAGCTGTAGCTCCGCCCCTGATTACTACTGTTTTGCATTAATTCCATGACGCACCGATGGGTGGCCATTCTGGGGCGCAACACACCCTAGCGCGGCTCGCGGGTCATTTCTTTTTGCCCCAGATGGCCAAGGCAGTTCGGGAGTATGCCGCCGCCTGCGATACATGTCAACGGGTCAAGTCGGAGTCTCTGTCGCGTGGAAGGATTGCTCAAGCCGCTTCTGGTTCTATGCCAAGTATTGGAGGATATCTCGATGGATTTCATTGAAGGGTTGCCTGTGTCAGGAGGTCGGTCAGTTCTATTGGTCGTGGTGGATCGGTTGTGCAAATATGCTCATTTCATGGCGCTACTGCATCCCTACACGACTCGAACGGTGGTGGAAGAATTTATCCAAGGGGTGGTACGACATCATGGTATTCCGGGGCCAATCGTATGTAATCGTGATGCGATCTTCACTAGTGCATTTTGGAATGAGTTCTTCCAACGGACGGGCACACAAATTAATATGAGTACTGCTTATCATCTGCAGTCGGATGGTCAAACGGAGGTGGTTAACATGTGTGTTGAGAAATATCGTCGTTGTTTCGCTCATCAACAACCTCGACTATGGCACATGTTCCTTCCTTGGGTGGAATTATGGTACAATACATCGTTCCATCGTACCATTGACATGTCGCCATACAAGGCATTATACGGGTGCGAGCCGCCGAGTATCATTCCCTATCGGGAGGGTGATAACAGAATGGAGGCCGTTGATCAGTTGTTGGGTCGTTGTGATGAGGTTTTGCGCGCGTTGAAGGCGACTTTTGTGGCGGCTAATGAGTATACCCGCCTCCGTGCTAACTTGAAGCGCCGCGACTTGCAGTTTGAGGTAGGAGACTGGGTCCTATTGCGCCTACAGCCATATCGCCAACACTCTTTCTTCCGCCGCGCCGCGCCTCGCAGAAGCTAGCTAATCGGTATTTTGGACCTTATCAGGTGGAGGCTCGAGTGGGTATGTAAAATACGACGAATGCGGAAATAATAGAAACACGAGACCAAGATTTACGTGGTTTCCCCGCTCAACATGAACGGGACTAGTCCACGGAGAGCTTCAAGCTCTCAGAGATTTCTTATTTTTGTTTTCAGGTTCTTAGGGTTAGCTGCAGCAGCTAGAACCCTATTTGTACACAAGAGGTAACAAAACCCTACTCCTCTACACGTTCAGCTGGAGTTGGGAGGAAAAACAAAATGAAAAATTACAAAGTGATCGCTATAATAATAAACCATGTCCCTAGGGATCATAACACGCCCCCTCAAGCGAAGGAGTGAATGTCAAGAAGACCGAGCTTGACGAAGAGATGATGAAACTGATCCACGCTTAAGCCCTTAGTAAACAAATCCGCAGGCTGATCAGCGGTGGGAATCTTCGCGGGCACGATTTCACGAGACTGAACGCGTTCGTGAACAAAATGGCAATCCATCTCAACGTGCTTAGTCCGCTCATGAAAGACAGGATTAGCAGCAATATGTAGAGCCGCCTGGTTGTCACAGAACAACATAGTGGGGCTAGGCAAGGAGACCCCCAAGTCCCGGAGCAACCATCGGAGCCACAGCACCTCACTGACCGTTCTAGCATTGGCACGGTATTCAGCTTCAGCAGAAGACCGGGCAACAACAGTCTGTTTCTTTGTTCGCCAGGAAACAGGGGAAGTGCTAAGCATGATGAAGTAACCAGTGGTGGAGCGGCGAGTAAGCGGACAACCACTCCAATCAGCATCACAATAAGCCGTAAGGGTAAGATGAGAGGTAGTGGAGAAAAAGAGACCTTGACCCGGTGAAGACTTCAAATAGCGGAGAACACGAATAGCAGCAAGCTCATGAGCTTGGGTAGGCGACTGCATGGCCTGGCTAAGGAGATTAACCGCATATGTGATGTCCGGACGAGTGACCGTGAGATACAACAAGCGGCCTACGAGACGACGGTAGGCACCGGGATCAGCAGCCGGGGGGGAAGGTGACCGACCCAACTGATGTTGTTGTTCGATCGGAGTAGAACAAGGCTTAACAGCCGTCAAACCAGTATCATCCAAAATGTCCAAAACATATTTGCGCTGGTTAAGAACAATGCCTCGAGGAGAACGCGCAACCTCAATGCCCAAAAAGTACTTAAGAGGACCAAGGTTCTTGATGGTAAAACAATCGTGAAGGAAAGCCTTCACCCTAGTGATAAACTCCAAATCGGTACCAGCAAGAATCACGTCGTCAACATAGATGAGAGATGTAACGAAAGTAGTGCCGCGACGATAGGTGAACAAAGCATGATCGGCGCGGCTGGGGGTAAAACCAAGCTCAAGAAGTGCCTGAGTGAACTTCTGATACCAATTTCAAGATGCCTGACGAAGACCATAAATGGATTTATGGAGGCGGCAAACTCTCGTTTCGCCAGGGCGAGCAAACCCTTGCGGAATGGCCATATACACTTCTCCCTCGAGATCGCCGCGCAGGAAAGCATTATTGACATCAAGCTGGTGAATATGCCAGCCACGAGTTACTCCTACTGCCAACAAGCAACGAACAGTGACCATTTTGGCAACAGGAGCGAAGGTGTCGTGAAAATCCACCCCCTCCACCTGTGTAAATCCTTTAGCAACCAAGCGAGCCTTATAACGCTCAACAGAACCATCCGGGAAAAACTTCACCTTAAACACCCATTTGAAAGCAATGAATTTCTTCCCAGGAGGCAAGGGAACAATGGACCAAGTCCCATTATCAACCAGAGCAAGAAACTCGCGCACCATTGCATCGCGCCAATGTTTGAATCGCACAGCTTGATGAAAGTAGGTAGGCTCATAGGTAGCACTAACAGCAGCAACGAAAGCATGATGCACGGTGGATAAACGGTGATAGGAGACATAATCTTCGAGAGGGAATCGAACAACGGCAGTGTGTGCAGCGCCAGACAGCTGAGTCTCATAGTCACGCAAGCGAACAGAAGGGATTCTAACCCGATCACCGCGACGAAGTGCTGGAGGGGCAGCGGCAGGAGTGTGGGTCGCAGCATCGGGACTAGTGGAGGGTAATGGTGAGCTTGTCGAGGGAGAGTGAGGCGAGAGAGACTCCGCAGCAGGTGCAACACATGGAGACGAGGGGGAATCCCCTGCATGCGGCGACGTTGCATGGGGAAGGGGGGAAGCTGGAGACGTGGGATGCTCTAGTGCACTTGGAGTGAAAGAAGAATCCCCCAATTCAAGTTGATCATCCTCAATCTCAATGGGTCCTGCAAGTGAGGAAGGCGCTGGGATAGAAACAGTAACAGGAGTGAGAGCATTTTCAGCAAGATCCTGATAGGGATAAACATGCTCAAGAAACTTCACGTCGCGCGAAGTATAAACATGTTTAGTCTCAAGGTCATAAACACGATAACCCCGCTGTGTAGCCGGATACCCCAAATATATACCCGCTCGACCACGAGCACCAAATTTATGAAGACCATGATGATTATCTCGGGCATAAACCAGACACCCAAAGCTGCAAAGATGATCATAGGCCGGTTCTTTCCCAAATAACACTTGAAAAGGAGACTGATTCTCAGTGGAGACAAGTGGAAGATGATTTATGAGGTACGCTGCTGTTAAGACACACTCACCCCAAAATTTTGTCGGCAGATTCGCATGAAACCGTAGTGCACGCGCTGTATCCAATAAGTGGCAATGTTTGCGCTCGACCACGCCGTTCTGCTGAGGAGTGTCTGTACAGGAAGTTTGTAGAACAATGCCTTCCTGTTCATAATAAGAGGTGAGTTCATGACAAGAAAATTCAGCGCCATTATCAGCCTGAATTCGCCGCACCTGAGCACCAAACTATGTCCGCACCATGTTGCAAAAATAGATTAGGTGTCGAGCTACATCCGATTTAAAACGTAACAAGAAGACCCACACAGCACGACTAAAATCGTCCACAATTATTAAAAAATAATGTGCTCCTGAAATAGATGCCGTCTTATAACTCCCCCAAATGTCAATGTGGATAAGCTCAAAAATCGACTTAGTCTTAATGGTGCTAGTCTCAAAAGAATTGCGAGTTTGTTTGGCCCGTAAACAAGATCGACAGGGCTCTTTATTATGAACGAAAGAACAATGTAGTAAAGTCTCCAAAGCATGCAGCTTAGCACCGGACGGATGGCCTAGTCGAGAGTGCCACAAATCAGTGCTATCCAGAGATCGACGAACTGTGTGTGCAATCGGGTGCTCGGGCGCGAACAATCTCAGGAAGTACAGCCCATCGACGTGCTTACCCATCCCAATCAGCCTCTTGGACGGTAGGTCCTGAATCACACGTAAGTCACCCATAAAGATTAACGCAACCGGCAGATCAGCTGTCAACCGACTGACTGATAGTAAGTTGCATTGAAAATCAGGAACGTGAAGCACACGACGCAATAATAGATCATCAGACAATTTAGCCGTCCCAATACTGCGAACAGAGACACCTGTACCATTGGGTATTTTGACCTGAAGAGCCGGATTCGAGTCCAACTCCGAATCCAATAAAGAGGCATGGTTAACGATGTGTTCGTTACAACCCGAATCAATAACCCAAGATGCAGAATTAAGAGAATACGTACCTGCCATGTTGGATGATGGTTCGGCCGAGCCCTGGGAATGGTGTAATAGATCACTAGCGAGGAGAGCTTTAAGTTGATCAAATTGGCGGGCTGAAAGGCCGGGCAAGGGGCTGTCGGCGGCATCAACTTGGGCAGCTTGGGGCAAGGAACGAGCTCCCCGATCTGCGCGCCTGCGAGTTGACTCTCCCTTGTCACTATTCTTGGAAGGAAATCCGATCAGCCGGTAACAAGTCTCCCGGAAATGGCCTGTACGCTTGCAATGAGTGCACTTGGGCTTCCCGTCAGCGTCCCGATCCTTGTCGCGGTCGGATTCAGCAAGCAGGGAAGGCCGATCCAACTTCTTTTCGCCATGAGCTTGGAAAACAGCAGCCTCGGGACGCAGACGCCTACTGGACGAGATCATACGCTGCTGCTCATCATGGGAAACGAGCTGATAAGCTTCTGCTAAGGTGGGAGTTGGCCGCATGGCCAATATTTGGGATTTGACGGTAGAGAACACGTCATCTAAGCCCATCAAGAAATCAAACAATTGCTCGCCGTCACAGACGTCTCTTTGGCGCCGCTGGGCATCACAGGTACAACCTGAACAGATGCAAGACACCGAGAGAGTGAGGGACTGTATCTCATCCCAAAAACCCCTCAACTTGGTGTAGAAAGAAGAGACCGAGGCCTTCTCTTGCTGCAGGCGGACGATCATGCTCTTGAGCTCATAGAGCCTGGCGGCGCGGCCTTGGCCAAATCGGGATTGGAGATCAATCCAAATTTCACGCGCAGTCGACGCAAAACGGACGCTACTGCGAACCACTTTGGTCATCGATGTCTTCAGCCACCCCTTTACCATGGCGTTGCAACGAAGAAGAGCCTCCTTTTCGACCGGAGAATTGGCAGGAGGTAAACTCCCATCCACAAAACATATCTTGTTCTTGGCGATGAGCGAGTCGGTAATATCCACGACCCATTCTCCGTAATTAGCATCAGAAAGCAGCTCACCGACAAAGAGATTACTCGGGCTGTCCGATGGGTGAAGGAGAAGGTGCGACTGCAGCATAACCTGGGAATTGAGTCCCGCAGCCGTCGATGATTGAGGGCTCTTACCGGTCTGGGTAGACTTGCTGGCTTCATCGTCTGAGCTCATGATTAAACACTGTGGATCTACTCACAGCTCTGATACCATGTAAAATACGACGAATGCGGAAATAATAGAAACACGAGACCAAGATTTACGTGATTTCCCCGCTCAACATGAACGGGACTAGTCCACGGAGAGCTTCAAGCTCTCAGAGATTTCTTATTTTTGTTTTCTGGTTCTTAGGGTTAGCCACAGCAGCTAGAACCCTATTTGTACACAAGAGGTAACAAAACTCTACTCCTCTACACGTTCAGCTGGAGTTGGGAGGAAAAACAAAATGACAAATTACAAAGTGATCCCTATA